CAGCTGCTGGATCCCCAGCTCCAGAGGTATCTTGCCGGCTCCCCCCCTGGTCCTGTGCCATGCTGCCAGCTGTCCCCACCCTGTCGCGTCCTGCCTGGGGCTGCCAGCTTCCCTGTCCCATTCCCACCAGCTCTCTCCTGTCCTGTCCAGGACTGCCAGCTTTCCCTGTCCTGTCCCTGTCAGTTCTCCTCTGTCCTCCCCCATCCCTACAACACCCCGTATCCCACTCCATGCTGGCTGCCAGATGCCCACAGGTGCCTGCGGGCTCTGATCCCCCCGTGCCACAGGTTTAGGCCTGGCCTCTATGGTGATCGTCTTCTTCTGCAACTCCTACTACATCATGATCTTGGTGTGGGGGCTCTTCTACCTGGTGCATTCACTGACGGACACCCTGCCCTGGGCCACCTGTGGCCATTCCTGGAACACGGAGCAGTGCACGGAGCTCTTCAACCTGGACCTGTGCCAAAATGTCAGCATTAACACCACTGCCAGCACTTGGACCTCCAACTTCAGCTGCACCAACATGACCAACAAGCGCTCACCTGTCATTGAGTTTTGGGAGTGAGTGTGGGAGCCAGGAGGGTGTTGTCTGGGGCTGGGAGTGTCATGCTGGTGCTCAGCACAGCCCCACTCTGCAGGAACAAGGTGCTGCGTCTCTCTGGGGGACTCAGCGAGCCGGGGGAGATGAACTGGGAGATGATCCTCTGCTTGCTTACCACCTGGGTGATTGTCTACTTCTGCATCTGGAAGGGTGTCAAGTCGACTGGGAAGGTAATGCTGGCAGGGGAACGTGCGTCAGGGCCACTGGCATGAGAGAAGACTGCATCACGTGGCACTGTTGGCTCCTGCCCCCCTGTGCCACAGCCCACAGGGGTGGGAGGCCCGTGTCCCACGTGTGTCCGGGAGGTGCTTCCAGCTGCTGGGGACATTCCCAAGCTCTGGTCCTGCTGGGACACCTGTGGCACGTGACAGAAAGCCCTGTTCTGGGGGGTCTCATGGCCACCCACTGCTCTTCAGATTGTCTACTTCACGGCGCTCTTCCCGTATGTGGTCCTCATCCTCCTGCTGGTCCACGGAGTGACACTGCCTGGCGCGCTGGGTGGCATCATCTATTACCTGAAACCTGACTGGTCCAAGCTGGTTGAGGCACAGGTGAGGGCACTGGGGAGAGCAGCAGAGAACTGGGTGCTAGACAACGCCCTGGCACCCCCATCACCCCGTGACATCCTCCCTCACATCCCAGGTCTGGATTGATGCTGGCACCCAGGTGTTCTTCTCCTACGCCATCGGGCTGGGCGCCCTGACCGCACTGGGCAGCTACAACCGCTTCCACAACAACTGCTACAGGTAGGGCTGTGCCAGCTGCAGGCAGGCCCCCCAGTGTGCCCCAGTGACCCCCTGGTGTGTCCCCCAGTGCCCCCCAGCATTTCCTTAGATGCTGTGCCCACAGGGATGCCTACATCCTGGCTGTGATCAACAGCTGCACCAGCTTCTTTGCCGGCTTTGTTGTCTTCTCTGTGCTCGGCTTCATGGCCTCTGAGCAGGGCGTGGACATCTCCAAGGTGGCCGAGTCTGGTAAGTGATGGATGCTGGGTGCCAACGTTGTCTTCTGTGTCACCCCTTGAGTGGAATCTCTGACCCCACTCTCCTGCAGGTCCCGGGCTGGCTTTCATCGCCTACCCCAAAGCTGTGACGCTGATGCCCTTGTCCCCGCTGTGGGCCACGCTCTTTTTCATCATGCTTCTCGTGCTGGGGCTGGACAGCCAGGTGCTGTGGCAACCAGGGAGATGGGGAACGGGGAGAGGATGGGTGGCACATCCCCACTGAGCTCTGCTTTGTGCCACAGTTTGTCGGTGTGGAGGGTTTCATCACGGGCATCCTGGACCTGTTCCCCCAGCCGGGGGCTGGCTCTCTGCGCCGTGAGCTCACCGCTGCGCTCTGCTGCATCATCTGCTTTCTCATTGACCTCTCCATGGTCACACAGGTGGGGGACACAGCAGGGACACTGACGGCCAGCCCCACACTGGCCACCTGTGGCTGTTTCTGAGGCATCATCTCCCATGAGATGCCACTGTGGGGCGGGAGCTCACTGGGCTGCTGCCCTCGTGTCAGTGGAGCTGCCTATGGCATGGGGGTCTCTGTGGTGTAGGGGTGCTGTGGGAGCAGGGTGCCCATGGCATGCAGGGTGTTCATGCCAGGTGGGGTACTGGTGCTGGCAAGGCTATGACTTGCCAGTGTGGCAGCGAGCGGGACAGCCAGCACAATGCTGGTGACACGGGCACCTTCCTGGCAGGGCGGCATGTACGTATTCCAGCTCTTTGACAACTACTCGGCCAGCGGGATCACGTTGCTGTGGCAGGCTTTCTGGGAGTGCGTGGTCATTGCCTGGGTCTATGGTGAGGCCAGGGGGACACGGGGAGGGGGACATAAGGGAGGACACGAGGTGGGACGCAAGCGCCCCAGCTGACGCCCTCCTCCCCACAGGTGCCGACCGCTTCATGGACGATGTGGCCCGTATGATCGGCTACCGGCCCTTGCCCGTCATGAAGTGGTGCTGGGCTGTGGTGACACCGCTGGTCTGCGTGGTGAGCGAGGCCACAGCCCGTGGGGACACGCGTGTGCCGCCGCCCCGCGCTGCGCCGCGGGCACGGAGCGCCCCCCGGCGGCCGCTGCCGGCACACGCGTGTCGCTGCCGTGGGGCGAGCGCGGCTCGGGGGCTCGGCCGTGACCGCGTCGGGGTGGGGACCTCAACTCCCTCTCTCCACCCAGGGCGTCTTCGTGTTCCACGTGGTGAACTACAAGCCGCTGACATACAATAAGACATACGTGTACCCGTGGTGGGGGGAAGCCATCGGCTGGGTCCTGGCACTCTCCTCCATGCTCTGCATCCCCTGCACTGTTATCTACAAGCTCCTGCGCTGCAAAGGCTCCTTGCGCGAGGTGAGGGCAGTGCAGCGGGATCACTCCCGCCTCTGTCCCCACCCCATTCTCAGCCATGGTTGCCCCCTTCATAGTGCTGTCCATGGCCTAGTCTCAGCCCCAGTCAAATTCCATCATCTACATCGCTGTCTCAGTCCCATCCACCACCAGATCCCATCCCTGTCTTTATCACTGTCTGATTCCCGTTCAAATCCCACCACTATCCACATTGCCATCACAGTCCCATCCATAGCCAGGTCTCATCCGTTGTCATCACTGTCTTATTCCCATCCAAATCATGTGCCTGTCCCCAGTGTCTCACTCGCACCCAAATCCCATTCCTGTCCCCATTGCTGTCGTATTCCCAGTCTTACCTGATTCCCACCGATGCTTACATCACTATCTCAGTCCTATCCCTATCCCTGTTGCAGCTAGATCCTGGGCACATCCCCATCAGTGTCTCCTTACAATTCCTGTCCTTCTCTCAATCTCATTTAGTCCTTTTCCCATCCTAGACTCGCCCCGTCCAAATCCTCTTCCTGTCTTCATTGCTCTCACTCCTATCAGATTCCTATCCTCACTGCTGTCTCACTCCCAGCCTCACCCAAACTCCATCCTTGCTGACATCACTGTCGTAATCCTGTCAGTCTCAGTGCCATCCCTGTCCCTGCGCAATCTCTGTCCCTTTCTCAATCCCATTTCAATCCATTTCCTGTCCCAGTCTCACCTCTACCCCCACCCAAATCCCATCCCTTTCCTCTCCCTGTGCATTGCTGGGTCCCGGCAGTCCCAGTGCTGTTGTCCCTGGGCGCTGACGCGATGTCCCCACAGCGCTGGCAGCTCCTGACCACTCCAATCTGGGGCCAACACCACCTGGAGTACCTGACGCCAGAGGCAGAAGCCAAGCTGCTGGCCCCAGAGCCCCCCAAGGAGAAGGCGACGCTCTTCGAGACTGTGATCTGAGCGTGGGGAGGGTCGCGCTGCTCCCGCCCGCCATAGCAATAATGCCAGCACCGCCTCCCACCCACCCACGCTGCCCCGTGCCCCCCGCGCCGCCCCGGCCGCCGGCCTCGCTCAGGGGGAGAACGCAGCGAGCTGGGGGGTGCTGGGGGCCACGGAGCCAGGGCAGCCACGGGGCACAGGAGGGGTCCCCGGCGCGGGGGAGCGCGGCAGCCCGGGGGAACGGCAGGGAGGCCACCGGCTGGGGGAGCGAGAGGGACAGCCCTTCCCTGGCCCCTGCCCGCGGCCCCCATGGGCCCCCACTCACTAACTGCTTCCCGTAGCGTTTGTCTGGTGTAACCCCAACCGCCCCGACATCTGGCAATAAACTGGGAGACCCTGGCAGTCCTGGCACTGCAGGCAGGGGAAGTGGGGCACCAGCAGCGGACAATGAGGGGCGAGGTGTGGGGTGGCACTGGCCTTTGGGGGACAGAGGTTTGAAGGGAGTAGGGTTCAACAATTCAGGGGTGCCTGGGTTCCTCTCGGTGACTTGTGGGGCACAGGCTGTTGGAGCAATGGGGTCTTCATCCTTCTACACCACAGGATGTGGGTGCCTGCAGGCTGTACCAAACCCTGGTGGGACCAGGGGACCCCATGCAGCCAAGGGCTGGCCTTGCTAATCAGCTCCAAGAGGCAGATTTTAGCCCAGAGGCTTTGAAGGTTTTGACTGTCCCCAGGGGGTGGGTCAGGATCCAGCTGTACCCCACTGGAAACTTCGTATCAGCCTTGTGCCTCCCCACTCCATGCACTGTGCCTTGGGAAAAACCCTGGGCTGCCGAGGGCTGTGTGGACAAGTGGATGAGGCAGCCTCTGGGCATGTAGCCAGAAGTCAAAGGCTTAACCTTGCCCCAGAAGCTGTGAGCTGCCTGAGCCCTGTTTCAGCAGGGTGCCAGCTAGGCAGTGCACGTGCCCTGTGCCCCACAGCAGTAGCTCCTGGGGAGGCCAGCTCCAGTTCATGCCGTGGCAACCTGCGTGGAGCCCGGAGGAAACCACCAGCATGCTGTGCTTGGAGTGGCTGTCTGCCAATGCCTCGGTTTGATGTCAGTGTCCTGCTGTGCCCAGCATCCCACCCCAGCAGTGCCTTGGGCACCCCGTGAAGTGACAAGGGGGAAGAAGCGTTCCCATCTGCCCCAGCCATCCTCAGAGACTGGGCTGGAGCAGTGCCACTATGCCAGGTGTCCATATCCAATTGCTGGGATCACCAGGGTTCCAGAGGCTCTTGTTTTGGGGCGCTGGCTTGCCCCACCACGATGCCCTCTCACCCTGGTGGGGTGAGCCAGCAGTTCCTGCCCCACCGGCGATGCACACTGTAATTAGCGCGGGCAGGGCGGAAGCATCACTGATAATTGGCGGTGACTCTTCAGCAGGAGCCTCACGTGCCTGGGGCATGGCAGGACTTTCCGGCAGGGCTGGTCTGTGGGACCGGCTGGCATCCCGGTGTGCGGGGCCTGGCTGACTCCCCAGCACCAAGTGGGGACAAGGGCTGGGCTCGGGGTGCGGGGGCGAGCGTTGTCATCGCCTTTGCTTCGTGCTGCAGCACGCCCTGGTCCCACCACCCCTTCCTAAAAGGCACAGCTGCAGGGTGCTGCCAGCACAGACGGTGAGAGCACGGGGCCCAGGCAGCAGGTGGGCAAAGGAAAGGCAGAGGACAAGAGTTAAAGGGGTGCCGAGGTTTGTCTTTGCTTGCTGGGCTTTCCTCAGGGGTCTCCTGTAGCCCCCCGTGAGCCCAGAGGAGGGGACGTGGCTCCTGTTGTGCCCGGGCAGGGGCGGGCACCATGAACCGGATCACAGTGTACGAGCACGCCAACTTCGAGGGGCTGAGCCGAGAGTTCACCTGCGACGTGCCTGACCTGCACGAGCTGGATTTTGGGGACTGCATCGCCTCCCTGAAAGTGGAGGGGCAGCCATGGATTGCCTACACGGACCCCAAGTACGAGGGGGAGTCGTACGTCTTCGAGGAGGGCGAGTACCCCTCTGTGGATCGGCCCAACAGCTTCTCAGCACTGCGCCTCGTGCACCACGACCTGGGGGATCCCCAGATCACCCTCTATGAGCACCCCAACTTCCAAGGCGCCTGCAAGGTGGTGACAGAGGAGACCAACTTGGCGTATGGGTACTTCAACGACCGGGTGGCCTCGCACACGGTGCAGCGAGGGGTCTGGCTGCTCTACCAGCACCCCGGCCGGGGCGGCTGGCACTGCCTGGCGTGGCCCGGCGAGCACCTCGCCGACTACAAACTGGAGCTGAACTTCCAGTCTCGGCTGTCCCACCTGCGCCCGCTACGGCCTGGGCGGCCCCTGGTCTCGGCACGTCTCCTCTGGGAACAGAAGCGGGTGGAGGAGGAGCGGGAGGTGCTGGTGGATGAGATTGAGGGGGTGAACGAGACCGAGTCGGAGCAGGCGCTGGCGGCCAGCAGCAGCCGGGAGTACGGCACCACACTCTGGCAGAGCTTCAACTTCAGCAATGCCACCAGCCTCAAAGCCGGGCTCTCCTTCACGCTGACCGTGGAAGCCTCCAACATCTTTACGGTGCAGAAAGGGCGCAGCGAAAGCAGCACTCGCCGGCAGCGCGTGGAAGTGCAGCTGCCGGCCAAGATCCCCCCGCGCACCGCGCTCAGCATCCAAGTGCTTCGGAAGGAGGTGACGCTCTCCGTGCCGGTGCTGCTCACCATCACCCAGAACGAGAGCGTGCGCACCGAGATGGGCGAGTACCGCAGCGTCTCAGGTACCAATGTCAGTGCCCGCTATAGCTTAAAGCCACTGCCAGCTACGGGCAGGGAGCAGGCGGCCACCAAGGGGACAGACACAGTGCCTGGCACCAGGATGGAACTATAGCTCTGTGCCGGTGCTCAGCCATGGCTGTCCCCTCCGTGGTGTGGGACTCACTGTGACACCAGCGTTGACTCCAGCACCCACCCATGGAGGAGCCAGGACCTGCCTTGTCTGGTTGTGTCCGGTGGCTCTGGCTGGCAGGACCTGCTAGTGCCTCCTCCCACGCCGTATTTCCAATAAACCCCCTTCCACAACCACTCGAGTCTGCTGCTACTCGGGCTGAGGTGGGAGTAGGATGGATGGGACACTGGGCTAGGGGGCTACTGAGCTAAGAGTGCCAAGTTGAGGGGGGATATCGGGTTGGAGCAGGGACTCCCGGGGAGAGGCAGAAAACGTGGGGTTGTGGAGGACACCCGGGGGTACCGGGCCGGAAGAGCTGGAGAATACCGGACTGGGGAAGCTGGTGGGGCAAAGGGAGAGCTGGGGACACCAGACTGGACAAGACGTCAGATGGGGCGAGGGCGGGGTGGAGGACACTGGGCTGAGGCAGCCAAAGTTCCACCGGTCTAGGGAAGCCTGGGAACACTGGGATGAGGGGTGTACTAGGGCAGCGAGGGGGACAGGGGAGATGGGAAGAGGGCGGACACTGGGTTGGCAGGGCCAAATGACCACGCACGATCCGGGGGAGCCGGGGACGCCGAGTCAACCTGGCCCCGCGTACACCGNGCTTGCAGGCAGCCGCCTGCCCCGGGGGATGGCAAGGGGTGTTGCCCGTTGTGTTCTCCAAGTGCTGACGCAGGTTTCCACATCGCAGGCTTCTCTGATCTGGCAGGAACTGGAGGCTGAAGAACAAGAGCTGCAGCTTGAGGCACCCCAAAGGCCTGCAAGAAACTCTTGGAGGCCCTGTGGCCAGAAGCGAAGTCCGGGCACCCCCCAGCACCCAGATGAAGGCTGCGTCAGATACTTTGTCCTGGCCACCACGGCTGCAATTGTGGCTCTCTTCCTGAACGTCTTCTACCCACTCATTTACCAGCCCCGCTGGAGATAGGCCCAGGCGCGTGGCCAGCTGCGGGAGCAGGGCCGCCAGGGCACGCGCCGTCCTAGGACGCTCTGAGACCAAGACATGAGGCAGCAGGACAGAAATCGCTGGGAAAGACTCGCCAAGGGAAACATGGGGCTGTCGGCTCCTGTCTGTCTGCTCTGGCATCTCCTGTGCCAGCTGGCAGGCCTGTGTGGCCAGCCTGCTACTTTGCCAAGGCACAGCCCAGAACCAGAAGCTCCTTTGCCCTTCCTTGCTGCCCACTGGGAGTGGGGAAGACCTCAAGGCTACCTGCTGCTCAAGAAGGGACATTGCTGCTGCAGCCTTGCTGGGGCCTGAGAGCCCTGTGGGCACATCAACCGTCTCTGCTTGGCTCTCCAAGAAGGAAATGGAGACCTGCCGGGAGGCTGCAGCAAGGGCAGGATGCCCTGACACGGGCCCTGGCTGGCCACCTCTCTCAGCTGTGCTGCTGCAGGAGCCTTGAGCTCCCCTGGGGCTGGGCTACCCACGGTCCTTGGCCAGCCCAGTCTGCCCTGCTAGCCTTCTGTTGAGCCTTCTGGTGCCAGCTGCCTGTGTGCTGGGAGTGTGTGCCACACTCGTGTGCTGGGGCTGGACGGGCTTGTCACCAGGGGCTTGTGTGCTTCCCTGCTCAGCCCCAGACAGTGCCAGGGAGCCTGGCAATCCAGACTGAGGTGCCCATGGTGGGCACCGTGGGGCTGTGTGCTGGTAGCATCTGGGGGAGTTGGTCTCTTCAGGGCAGTGTGGTGCAGCACCTCATTTGCGAGGGTACCAGCTGCCCATGCTGCGGGAGAGGCGTGGGGTCAGGGAGCACAGATATGGCCATGGTGCATTAATAAAGCCAGGTTTTCCAAAGAAATGCAGCATTCCTGTCCTGTGTGCTGGGACTCCCACACAGAGGTGAGGACTCCACACTGGGGTCACCTGAGGCCACTATGTGACCCAGCTGGCACCAGAACCATCCCTTGGGCTTTGCTGGGTGCCTGGTGCACCTTGTGCGGCAGCAGGCTCAGGAGTGAGCTCTGCCTGCCCGTGCCGTGGGGCACAGGCTGGGCTCCAGTCCCAGCTGTTCAGTGGTAGCCTCATGGGACACGTGCAGGGTGTGGGGAGCCCGGCAGAGCCAGGAGCAGGCAGTCCCCTGAGGCTGGGGCACAGGCTGCCACTCCAACCGTGTCTGACATTGAGACGTGTTGCCCTTGGCTGCGTGTGGCTCAGACGGCTCTGGCGTATCTGGGTGTGAGAGGTGACTTCAGAGCCCTGTGACTTTCTTTTCCGTCTCCGCTGCTGTTCTGCCGGCAGTGCCCTCAGCTGGCCTGGGAGGGATGCTTTGCAGTGAAGGGGTTCCTCTGTGTTTTAGGCCAGGGCCTGAGCTGGACTCCCCCTACCTCTGTCCCACACCCCTCCTCCACGTGCTGAGGTTTACTCCCCTCCCAAGCAGGTCGCAGCCGGAGAGCACAGCAGGGCTGTGCCGTGGTCATGAGGTGCCTGTCCTGGAACAGTCGCCTCATTGTCTGCAG